CCGATGCAAAAAAAAAATGCGGAAACTGGTTTTTCATTTTTTTGCTCGAAAGTGGAATTTTCAGAGGCGCAAGTTTGATTTTGTCGAAAACTATGAATTATTCAAAATATATATATGTATATATAGTTTATTAGGGAACATAATTAGTACAGAAATGATATTCATCAAAAAAATGGTGCATGCAGAGAGACTTTCTGCACCACGAGCATCTAACTACCGCAACATTAGAACAACCATCAACTTCACATTTTGGATTAGAAGATTGTCCAAACGCAAAATCGACAGGATTATCAAATTCCTCTGGTTTTTTTAGCGATGTAGCCACTCTGGTACCAAGCATAACGAAATAGGTTTTGATACCTCGGTGATGATAATTGATTATGGACTAAAGATTGCAATTTGATCACATTATTCCGCGCATGCAAATTAATATCATGATTTAAGAGAACAACCGTATCTGAAAAATGACGGACGTAATTTTTCCAAATCCTGAAGCCGTACACATCAAGAGGTTGAATTTTTCCGGTAGTTCCTTTGGGGATTAACATAGTTAATAATTCTTTATTCCGAGGAGTTGCCTGTTCTATCACTTGAGAGCAATGTCCACTCCATGAATCGATTAACAGTAGACTTTTTAGTCCCACATTTGGAAAGAATACTTCTTCCAGCCAAATTTTAAAGTGCTCTGGAATAGTTGCAATGGGATGAACATTACAATCAGTACAAATAAGTTTGTTACATCTTAAGTTTGAAATATCGTCTTACCAGACGTCAATTTCCCTGACTTTAAAGCCGTTATGTAAACATTAGAAGGTCTGAATAGATTCTCCTGAACCCTTGGACCAAACGTTCCGGAAGGTTCCTTGTAAACAATGAAGAGAGGTGACAATAATTTCCCATCTGCTGATATGGTGGGTTGTATGGTATAACTGTGTGTCGTTGATGTTACAGATTATACAATGCATGAGACTTCTTTAGAGCCCTCTTCCGCCAAAGTTCGCCCCGAATGCGTTTTCAATTAGAAACCACTCGGATCAGAATTATAGATGTTTTGTATGCCATAAATCTCAAAATATGGTTTGATCTGTTGCAGAAATTCGTCCGCTGTTTTTTGTAAATCTTTTTGATTTTCCATTGTTTTACGTGTGACGAATTTAGTAATCTTGCGAGATGTGATGCGATGAGCTCTTTTGAAGTAATGTAGCCACCATGCNAATGCATGAGACTTCTTTAGAGCCCTCTTCCGCCAAAGTTCGCCCCGAATGCGTTTTCAATTAGAAACCACTCGGATCAGAATTATAGATGTTTTGTATGCCATAAATCTCAAAATATGGTTTGATCTGTTGCAGAAATTCGTCCGCTGTTTTTTGTAAATCTTTTTGATTTTCCATTGTTTTACGTGCGACGAATTTAGTAATCTTGCGAGATGTGATGCGATGAGCTCTTTTAAAGTAATGTGGCCACCATGCCGAGGCCTTGAAACGAATATCTTGATATCCAATATCTCGTTGAGCTTGCAGAGCCCATCTTCGTAGGTCGGCATCATGAACAATTAGCCCCGCATCGATAGCATTTTTCATATTTTTCAACGTGTACTCTGATATTCGTTTCAACTTTTCCATAAAAGCTCCTTCTTTATTGACTTGATGAGCCCAACGACGTAATTGCTGGACCGATTTCACTCTTTGGAATTTATTGGAAACAGTTTTTATAGACAGATTTTTCTGTGTTGTTGCACTCCTCCAGTATTCGACTGCTCTTTTTTTATAGTCATTATCTACAAGTTCGTCATCCTCTGAACAACTATCAGATAATTCTTTATGATGTGGTTGGAATTCTGTATCCTCAATTGGTATCATTTCGATGTCTTTGTCTGGCTCTTGGAAATCAAGAGTTGATTCTTCAATAATTTCCACCCCATTATATTCCTCCATAGTTCGTTGCACTATATTCTCGAAATGAGTTGCCAATTCTCGTTCTTCATTAGTCACAGGGGTTTCGCCAAGATTCAGCACTTCAAATGTTGCCATGAGGATCTTAATAACGTTTATAGGATTGAATCTCATGATGGAAAGAATTCGGAATATACGATTAACAAGAGACGGTTTTGCCGTGATGTGTTTACGTAAACTGAACGCTGCGCAAAATGGAAGTGAATAATATTCAGGGTTATCAATAATACATGATTACTGCATGATGGATTACCTATTTTTGGATATAGGTGACGCGTGCACGGCTATTTGCATTTTGTTTGGATTTATTATTGCTTTCAGCAGTGTTGTATCATCACATATATACTATAATACTCCGACATATGAAAAAAACAAGTTCAATCATTCGTTGAACGATATGGAAAAATTCCGATTATTTAGCAAATTTTTTTTCGTACTCGTCACTGCTTTTTCTTCAAATATAACCACCCTGTTGCTGTACCTGAAGAAAAAGGAAATTTTGTTCCAGAGAATCTTTTCTTTGATCTATTTTTATCGTTATTCGTTTATCGNCGAATTTTGGAAAAATATCATTTTCACGTGCGGATTATTGAAATCAAAATTGAGGCTTGTGATATCTGGAATCCAATTTTATTCTTTCATAAAAAGGGATACTGTATTATTTCATATCTCTTCTGATGCAATCAGTTCCGTGAAAGCCAATAGTTGTTTGATAAAAAAATATTATTTTGCGGGGGTAATTACCCCGTCAACTTCAACCCCGAGAGGAACTATTATTGGATATTCTCACGATTTCTCATAAGCTACACATTACCTCAATGGAATGAATAAATAACCCCACCACCTTGGTGGATGATGTTGCCTGGAAATTATTTTTTTCACCCTAGAAAACTGCAGTTCTGGGGAAAAACCAAAAACAGGCATTCCGCATTTTTCCATGTTCCATCCAACGCAGTTGGTTTCATAAAATTCTGAATCATAGTTTTTTTTTTGAAAAATGAACTCTTTACAGGGGTAGTTTACCCTCCAAATTTCAACCCCCGGAGGGACTATCAATTGTGATTTCCATAATTCCTCGCGAGCTATTTATTCCCATAATGAACATTTACGAAAATTGCCTTCTTATAGGTGGAATTGAAACATCATCCCCAAAAGTGGTCACTGACCACTTCTGACCATGATTTCCCCCCTTAAAACTGCGTATCCGCCGGTAAAAAAAAATACGTGTCGCTTAGTTTCGAGTCCTCTACAACATATATGAGTTTCATCGAAATTGGAGGGGAACACCTCCCTAGTGTTCCTTGTTAGGGCAATAATTTTTGTTTCGAAATGTTCGTCTTATTGTCCACTATCTTGATCAATCAAAATGTGATCAATATACATGTTCATAGAAAGTTTTCGAGATATTTGGATTTTCCTATTTTTGAATAAAAGTCGTATGGTTTCTAGCTGACGTAAAAATCGAAATGTCAACTTGTTTTGAGATAGATTCTCAGTTTATGAGTAGAATTGTACCTTCAATAATTACCGCGAGGGAATGAAGCAACGATTGGAATAATGTTCTTGTAAAAAAATTCTCATAGAGGAAAGAAATTTGTGAAAATTTAATTTAATAAATTAGCATTGGGCAAGAAAAAATACTATTTCCTAAGATTATGTGTATCTGTGCGGGTGTCCAGCTGATATTCAACTTCTAGCGAATCAACGGTTTGAAGGCATAGAGAAAGTCAGAAAAGATCTCGAGTTTGTCAGATTATAGGTATTAATCAGGACTGACGCTCAGGACTAAAGCTTGATTTCGGCACAATCAACTCAGTTGTTTTGATGAAATTGTTGCTCATGAACCTTTTTGTGAAAATTTCTCGAAAACTAACCAAACAATTTCAAGTGAAAAAAAATTTTTTGTGATACCTGCCTGAAAAGTTCAGTTTTTGAAACCGTTTAGTGCCCATAAAGTGCTTGTTTTATGCACGAATTTTATGGTGGCATAGGTTTTCTTTAAATTCTTAGCAAAATCAAATTTTATTACGCTAAAAACCATTCGGAAGCCCACCATCAATTTAATGATGGCAAAGAAAGTATTAAAAAAAATTGATGAGTGAGATGTTCACTGCCACATGCTCGCTGCCCCCTGCTTGTTTTGTAAAAATTCATAAAAAAATTCCCAGAATGTTGTACGCACGTACAGACGTACAGGCAGACATTCTCTAAAAAACATCATATCTCGACATTTCATGCTATTCTAAGTCATTTCCAAGAAAAATTAGAGAATCAAAAAATCGGCCGATTACAAAGCTTCCATTCAGAAGCAAAAAACGTATTGCACGCCTTAGTGAAACACTGGCTAACACTGAATTCAGGTTTCTAAGGTGAAATTCAATATCTCCGTTCTATGGCTGCCAAAGTGGGATACCGGCATCCTTACTCGAGTGTTCTACTATGCTTCTCTACGTTTTTGACCTTAGGTTGTTAAGAGCGTTAGAATATAAAATAATTTGAAAAAACGAAACAATATGACAAAATTTCGAATACATTTGAATTTATGATAGTAATATGAGATGAACAAAGAGAAAAAAAATAATAGCAAAGAAAAATAATAAGAATTTGTGCGGAAGTGAATTGCTAATTTAGTAACAATTATAACTATAGTCATTTACAAACAATTATCTATTTGTATTTCTGATTCGTCATTAAAAAACACAAAACTCTACAATTTTTCATGTAATTGATCACCAGAAAACGGAAATTTCCACCAAAGGTATAAATTCCCCAATTCGATTTTTGCAAAACAATTGATGGAAAAATGTGGTATTTTATATTCACTTGACGCAGGGTTAAAGCCATGCTCAGCCAAATCCGAGAACATCAGGTTTGAAACCCCATCAATTCACATGAAATGTCCCATACATGTGAGACCATTTCATAGGAACCCCTAGCGCATTTCTTAACGAATTTTGTTCACAATTCTACTAGCTTTTCTTGCGTTCACAACATATAGTAGTCCTCATCTGATCTTCCATAATAATGAGCAATATATTTATTCTCTAATTTACAGATGGTAGTTTGTTATATGACAGAGTGCCAAATAAGCCTGAGATAGACAGATTGCCACCAACTCCACCACAGCCTCAACCGCTGCCCGTAGTTCAGCCCCAACAAACGATATTGAAACGAACAAGGCCGCCATTGGAAGAGCTCAATGGATCAGATGGTAAGTATCGAATCTCTGAATGCTATAAACCCAAACACAGAGCCTATTTTCATCGTGGACATTGACATCGTATTTGGACATGGATTACCCTTGGGGTGAAGTTGGGACCGACCTATCTTGCAATGGAAATGTCACCGAAATCGAAGGGTCGTATGAAGAGAGTATACGGTGGAAATACGTTCGTATCAGAAGTATCAGGGCGTTTCTACCGCATTGCTTCTATTCAAACTTCGTTGCAGTTGAAATACACTTTCTTGATGTTTATCTTGTTGTCTAATGTGTTTCCACAATCTGGCGTATTATCAAGCGAATCAAAATGGTCAAAAGAATTATCATCCGTGTTAATCCACTTTTCAAAGGTAAATGAAATAATTCACTAGGGATTTTATTTACTTTTTCATCACATGTACGAACGCGTTGTTGAGGAGGTTTGATCCCGCCGCGTTGATAGTGTGACCAAGAAAATTGACCTCGGGTTTGTCCAGATTAGACTTGGCGACGTTGATAACTACACTATCATCAGCCGATTTCTCGAATAAAATCCGCAGGTGCTCCATGTGTCGCTCCTCGTTCTCCGATGCCACGAGGATGTCAATGTAGACATACGCGAAATTCAGTTCGCTGGTAACTTCATTTGCGGCATTTCTGAGTCCAAACGTCATAAATGGAAACTCAAATAAACCAAAGGGCGTTTTTATCGCGGTTTTCGGTATGTCTATTGCTGAAACTCGGATTTGATTAAAAGCTCTCACCAGGCCGATGGTAGAAAAGATGAAGTCTTCCAGATAGCGTACAGGATAGTCATCTCGAATCGTTCTCGCGTTGAGAGGCCTGTAAGCCCCGCATCGTCGTCATTCACCATTAGACTTAATTAGTAGACGCAGTGGTGAGGACTATGGACTGTCTGACCTTCTCGTCACACCAAGTTTGACCATTTTGCTGAACTCATCGCGGGCTGCTTTTAGTTTGTTAGGCACGAGGCGTGGTGCTCGGCAGGAAACTGGTGGCCCGGAAGTTGTCCTGATGTGGTGAACCGTAGAGTGTTTAGATTCCCTAGGTTGTCCGTCCGGTTTGGTGAGAGATGAAAATTCCCTCAGCATCGCTGAATATGGGTCGTCATCAGACAGCTGATGAATTTTGACCGAGCTCGATGCGAAACGCGTGAATTGACCGAAGGAGGTGCGTTGATTTCACAGATCCGTCAGGAGCTCAAAATTATGCAGGAAATCAGCTCTGATTATTGAACGCACGACGTCAGCCTCGACGAAACATCAGGTGAGATCTCGTCTTAACCCAAGGTTCGGTCACAATGTGATCGAACCGTAGGTGTTCATGGTCGATCCGTTCGCGGCAAACAGCTGGTAACCCGTGAAGTCCGCTGAACTTCTAGGCCACCTGGTAGGATAGACGGAGACGTCTGAGCCTGTGTCCACGAGAAACTGTATGCCTGAGTCTTCATCAGTGATGAAAAGACGACGGGAAATTGAACGACAGCTGCGTTCCGCCTCTAGGAGCTAGCTCTTTTGTTTCCCTGATACATGCAACCAGGTGAACAATTCTTTGCTCTTTTACCGAATTTAGTATGAAACCAACAAATATCATGTGATTCTGATACTTTCCTGGTACGTGATAGGCTCCTGAATCGGTCCCGTGACTTCGATGGACCAGAGGAGCGTGAGCCGTAGCCTGTGGACTGTATCGCGGAGACAGATGCTGAGAGAGCTGATACCTGTTGAACTAATGATGCTATCTGCTATTCAAGTGGAGTTGACACGGCAGTGGAGGGTATACAGACTGGCTGCAAAATCTCGTAGAGGCTGCCAGCAGCTTTACCCAGTTGATCGGCGGTAGCTATTTGATTGGCTATACCCAGTTGAACTTTCTTGGGTAGATGCGACAACCATTTTATTTTCAATACGTCCTCGTCGATGTCTGGTACCAGAGCCTTGAGGTGCCTGAGGACTTGAGAAGGTGTGCGATCGTCAATTTCTTCGCGATCGAGCAGTTCTACCATGTTGGCCTGCTTTGAATGCGTGAAGCACTCGATCACCTTGTTCTTGAGCTGTTGGTACGGTGGATCGATTGGAGGATTGGTAATTAAATTTTTCACCTCGGCAGCAAACACCGGGGGAAGCACTGCAACTGCATGATCGAATTTTTGCAGTCTGGCTGCGATCTGTTTAATTTTAAATTGTGATTCCAGTTGTGAGAACCACAGTTGACGACGCGCAGGGATGCATTCCGGTGCCTTGATTTGCACGACAACCGTCGTAGCTGGTTGATTAACACCGGGGTTCTGTTCACCTGTCATCGCGGAAACGTATTGTCACAATCACAGCACACAAAATAAATTCGTTATTAGTCTTTATTTTTGAAAGCAGTACGACATAATGTCTATGAGTGCCCAGCAATATACCAGCTCGAGCTGCGATGTAAACAATACACACACACAGACACACACTCACGGTAGTATGGAGTAATGACGAACTCTGAATTTTGGTTGCTAGCCGACGCTTGGAATGCTCCAGAAGCTTCGAGATTCGAAAAAGGTGAACGTCATTCCACTACGCGGTAAAACGCTCAATTTTCACTGTGTCCTAAATAATTCGATCGTGTTGAGTAATCGTCGAACGATACCGAAAGAATTGAAAATTGAGATGTACGAAATGAAATGAAAACCGTTGAATTCGTACACTTGAGAGACGCTCTCCGAATTAGATGATCACGTCGGGGTCACCAATGTGTAGTGATTGTGGTGGTTGGAAGAGACTTCAATCACTAACATAAACGATGTAAATGAACTCCGGTAGATATTGTTTATAATATTTATTATAAACGCGTCGAGTGTAGGAATATTTATAAGAATGATTTGAATGCGAAACATATACATAATGAATATAATACAATGTGATATCCAGTCGGTACACTGAGAAAAATCCGGCGCTCGTTCAAGGGCGCGCCGCTCATTTCAAGGTATTGCGCCCATAAATGCGTTCCAAGTCGCGCGTCTTTGTTTTCAAGGAATTTCCGATAAAACGGGCTCTTGAATCAAAGGCAAGAAACTCTTCATTTGAAAGGTCTACAAAACTTTGAATCAAGAGTAGAAATTGAGAATGGAAGGAGAGAGAACTCTAACCTAATATTATAAACTAATTGGAGCATAGGGGAACAATATGGAGTGAAGAAGTGGTGAAATGGACTTTCTTCAATTGTCCATATCTCCCGACTGAATACCGTAATTGGGATAAATCAGATTTTATTTTGGAGTTTGACGAAACCTTTGAAAATTATGTGAAAAATTTTACTATGCTATTTTCGATTGATTGATACGTAGATTTGGTCCGTATTATCCCACTATCTTTAGATTTTCATCATTCAGGAATAAACAAGATGCTAATTGAAAATTAATGAAAAAATATGTGAATAGATAAACAAGTCAGCCTCCAAATCAATCAAACAGAACATATTTTCAGCAAACAGATAAACAAATAAGTTAATAAATTAGTAATATGGAATTTGAATATTTTCTTTAATCAGGAATAGATGAGCCTGAAAATGGCGAATGATTCTGGCGAACGATATCCACAACTTTTGGAGCGGACTGTACTGCCGACGCTTCAGAGGGACCGTGGACGGGGGTCAACTTTTTTACCCCTAATTTTTATAAATCATTAAGGAACATGACAAAATATGTTGAACACACCCTTACCCCTCCATGTGCATGCATTGTTTGAATGAAAAATAAAATTTCTAAATTCGAATGAAAATTTTTAACATTGTGACTTGGAGAGGGGGTGGTGGAGGGGGGATGCATAATAGGGGGGGGTTGAAAATTTTACTCAACAGGGGAGGGGGTTTCAGAATCTATCTGAGCTACCCCCATCCCTCCATTCGCATGCGTCAATTAAATAAAAAAATAAAATTGTTAAATAAAAACAAGAAATCTCGAAAATTGTGATTTCACAGGGGGTGTCAGGGGGATGCATAATAGGGGAGGATTGAAAATTTTAGCCGACAAGGGGAGTGGGTTCCAGAATCTATCTGAGCTACCCCCATCTCTCCGTTCGCTTGCGTTAATTAACTAAAAAATGTAATTGTTAAATTAAAAAACAAGATATAGAAAATTGGGAATTAGAGACGGGATGGAGGGAGGATGCATAATAGCGGACGGTTGAAGATTTCACCCAACAGGGGGAGGGGGTACCCTCTGTTCGCATGGGTTAATTAAATAAAAAAATAAAATTGTTAAATTTAAATAAAAATTTTGAGTATTTGGACTTTGTGAGGGAGTGGAGGGGCGACGCACAATAGGGGAGGTTTAAAAATTTTACCCAACAAGGGGAGGGGGTTTCAGAGTCTATCTGAGCCACCCCCATCCCTCCATTTGCACGCGTCAATTGAATAAAAAAATAAAATTGTTAAATTTAAATAAAAATTTTGAGAATTTGGACTTTGCGAGGGGGTGAAGGTGGGACGCACAATAGGGAAGGGTTGAAACTTTTACCCAACAAGGTGGGGGTTGCAGAGTCTATCTGAGCCGTCCCCATCCCTCCGTTCGCATGCGTTAATTAAATAAAAAAATGTAGTTGTTAAATAAAAGAAAGAAATCTTGAAAATAGGGACTTCGAGAGGGGATGGAGGGGGGATGCATAATAGGGGAGGGCTAAAAATTTTACTCAACAAGGGGAGGGGGTGGCAGAGTCTTTCTGAGCAACCCCCATCCCTCCGATTGCATGCGTTAAATCAATAAAGAAATAAAATTGTTAAATTTAGATGAAAATTTTGGGTATTTCGACTTTGCGAGGGGGTGGAGGAGGGACGCACAATAGGGGAGGGTTGAAAATTTTATCCAAGAACGGAAGGGGGTTGGAGAGTCTATCTGAGTCGACCCAAGCTCTCCGTTCGCATGCGTTAATTAAATAAAAAAATGAAATTGTTAAATAAAAACAAGAAATCTCGAAAATTGTGACTTTGAAAGAGGGTGGAGGGGGGATGTATAA